GGGTGCTGGCCCAAGGCCCTGGCACCGTGGGGGGCCTAGCTCCTGCCCTGGCAAAGCCCTGCTCCCTGGTGGTGGCACCCCGAGGGCACTCTGCTCCCGAGCCTCTGCTCCCGTCTGCAGATGGGCACCGTCACCCTCCGTGATGGGCACCGTCACCCTCCGTACAGTAGCTGCAGTGAGATGAGGCACAGAGGGCGCCCGGCCCAGAGCCAGCAGGGTGACGCCCGGGGCTCCCGGGTGCAGGAAAGCCACAGGCGGCTGTGCTGGCCCCCAGTTAATTGTTCTTTCGTGTCCACAGGGAGTCTGACTTGTTCTTTTTGGATCTTCAGACGCTCCACGCCGGGGAAGAGGGCTGGCTGGTGCTGGACGTGACAGCCGCCAGCGACCGCTGGTTGCTGAACCGTAACCAGGACCTGGGACTCCGCCTCTACGTGGAAACCGAGGATGGTAGGACTCGGGTCCTCCTGGGGGGCCCGGCAGGTGCCCGGAGCCCCTCACTGGCCCCGGAGGCCCCACCTTTCTCAGCTGGGCCCTGGAGGCGTCCCCTCCCCACTCTGGGGCTTGGCCGGTAGAGGGTAGGGCCCACAGTGTGGGCTGCGGAGGCCCTGCCAGCCTGATTCCCGCCTCTCCCGCGGGGCCAGCGGCTGAGGGACGGAAACCGTGTTTCTTCTCCTCGAGGAAAGGGCGATCTTTCTGTTCTCCAGAGCAGCTCCTTTCTCCATTGGCAGTTTCTGCTCTTGGAGGGCATGAGAAATGGTCACATGGCCTGGGGGGGTTCCAGCTCTGTAGCTCTCACTGCCTCAGAGTCTGTAAACCGGGCTCCTTCATAGCTGCTTCCTCAGGCTCCGGCTGTGAGAGCCTCCAAGGGCTCCCACTCTGGCACAGTCCTGGCCAGGCGCCCGGCGGGACTCCCTGCCTCAATGGTCCACAGATGCAGCTGCCCAAGGAAGAGCAGACCAGCCCGGCCCCTGGTGGATGGAGCTCTCAGGGCTTCTGGGGCAGGCCCGGGCACTCAGGCCTGAGGGCAGCCCCGCCCAGGGCCATGCTGGTGTCAGCTGGG